GGGGATGGGCTGGGGAGGGGTGAGGCTGGGCTGGGCTGGGTGTGGCTGGGGTTGGGTCCGGAGCGGCTTTGCTGGGGTGTATTGGAGGGGCTGGGGGCGGGCCGGGGTGAGGACGCCGTGGGCCTGGGCTCGGCCCCTCTAGCGGCCTCGGCCTCGCACCTTTGGGCGGCTGCCCTACCCATAGGTCCTGCGTCCAAGCAGAGATGCATTTTCCTGGTTGCCGCCTCCACCTGGGGTGCCAGGTCCCCCTCTGGGTCTGTTAGGACAGAGCCACACGGGTGCCGGGCCGCCCTGGACGCCCTCCCGGCAGCCGGGCCCCCACCCCTGCGTCCATAGCCAACCCTCTGATCCCAGGCTGTTGTCACGTTCCACGGGTGGGGAAACCGAGGCCAGCGCGGGCTGTGGCCCTGTCCCGGCATCTGTGGCCTGGGACGAGGCTCTCTGCTGCTCACCCGCCAGGTCGGTCTGCAGCGCCCCGAGAGTGAGGAGGTGGACGCGGCTCTCAGGGCAGGGAGGAGCCCCTTCCTGAGACAGAGAACAGAGGTGGAGTGTGGCTCCCATCCCCGAGGGAGCCCCCGGAGCCCAGCACCCACTTCACACGAAGAACAGGTTTCCTCCAGACAGCACCTGCCAGCTCATGAGCGTAGTGCAGTGAGGGGCGTGGTCAGGTGGAGCCCCGCCCAGAAGCCCCAGTGAGGGGCTGGGGGCGTGGTCAGGGTGGAGCCCCGCCCAGGATCCCCAGTGAGGGTCTGGGGGCGTGGTCAGGGTGGAGCCCCGCCCAGAATCCCCAGAGAGGGACTGGGGGCGTGGTCAGGGTGGAGCCCCGCCTAGAATCCCCAGAGAGGGCTGGGGGCGTGGTCAGGGTGGAGCCCCGCCCAGAATCCCCAGTGAGGGGCTGGGGGCGTGGTCAGGGTGGAGCCCCGCCCAGAATCCCCAGTGAGGGGCTGGGGGCGTGGTCAGGGTGGAGCCCCGCCTAGAATCCCCAGTGAGGGGCTGGGGGCGTGGTCAGGGTGGAGCCCCGCCTAGAATCCCCCAGTGAGGGCCTGGGGGCGTGGTCAGGGGTGGAGCCCCGCCTAGAATCCCCCAGTGAGGGGCTGGGGGCGTGGTGAGGGTGGAGCCCCGCCCAGGATCCCCAGTGAGGGGCTGGGGGCGTGGTCAGGGTGGAGCCCCGCCAAGAATCCCCCAGTGAGGGGCTGGGGGCGTGGTCAGGGTGGAGCCCCGCCCAGAATCCCCAGTGAGGGGCTGGGGGCGTGGTGAGGGTGGAGCCCCGCCCAGGATCTCCCATACAGGGACTGGGGGCGTGGTCAGGGTGGGGCTGGGGGCGTGGTCGGGGCGGTCTGGGTCTCCAGCGCAGATGGTGGAAGCTTCCGTCCTCACCAGCCGCTCACCTCGCTGCTGGACTCCATGCGGTCAGGCTCTGTCCCTTCCTCTCCGGGGCCTGAAGCCTCTTTCGAGGTGAAGGGACCTGAGGGAGCACAGGATGGGGGACAGTGATGACGGGAACCCCTGCCCCACCCACCTTTGGGGGCCGCGGAGGAAGAGGCCAGCGGGCGGCAGGTCGGAGGCCGGGATGCGGGCAGGGCTACTCACAGGGCGGCCGGCACTGGGTCAGCAGGAGCCGGCCCACTTTTCGGAACAGTCTGCCCAGCGGTGGCGGGAAGGCGAAGACGGGCGGACTGCGGCAGGAGTGCGCGGGCAGCCGCTCTGGGGTGAAGCCCTTAGGGTCGGGGAGCTCGGGGTCAGCCCGGGTCATCAGGGTCAGCCCGGGTCATCAGGGTCAGCCCGGGTCAGGGAGCTCAGGGTCAGGGAGCTCAGGGTCAGCCCGGGTCGTCAGGGTCAGCCCGGGTCATCAGGGTCAGCCCGGGTCATCAGGGAGCTCAGGGTCAGCCCGGGTCCAGGAGCTGAGGGTCAGCCCGGGTCGTCAGGGTCAGCCCGGGTCATCAGGGTCAGCCCGGGTCATCAGGGAGCTCAGGGTCAGCCCGGGTCGTCAGGAAGCTCAGGGTCAGCCCGGGTCATCAGGGTCAGCCCGGGTCATCAGGGTCAGCCCGGGTCCAGGAGCTCAGGGTCAGGGAGCTCAGGGTCAGGGAGCTCAGGGTCAGCCCGGGTCCGGGAGCTCAGGGTCAGCCCGGGTCCCCGGCGGAGTCAGGGAGCTCAGGGTCAGCCCGGGTCGTCAGGGTCAGCCCGGGTCCGGGAGCTCAGGGTCAGCCCGGGTCATCAGGGTCAGCCCGGGTCCGGGAGCTCAGGGTCAGCCCGGGTCATCAGGGTCAGCCCGGGTCCGGGAGCTCAGGGTCAGCCCGGGTCCCCGGCGGAGTCAGGGAGCTCAGGGTCAGCCCGGGTCCGCGGGTCCGGATCCCGGCCCACCGGGGCGCACCCGGCCCACCAGGCACCCTCACCTGAGTGAAGAAGTCATCTTGCAGTACGTGGTCCAGGCTGGGCCGCTCGGCAGGGTTGGGCGCCAGCAGCCGCGTGATGAGGCTGCGCGCGCTGGGCGACAGGTGCTCGGGCTCGGGGTAGCGGCCGTCCCGGATATTCTGGTACATCTCCGGCAGGGGCGCCCCAGCAAAGGGCGGGGAGCCGGTCAGCGCCGTGTACCTGGGCCCGGGTTCGACCAGAGCGTTCACACTTCACACAACACGGCCCGGGTTCGACCAGAGCGTTCACACTTCACACACCGGCCGCCCCCGCCCACCCCTGTCCGGTTCCCCCGTCTCCACACCCGCCCTGTCTGGTTCCCCCGTCTCCACACCCCGTCTCCACACCCCGTCTCCACACCCCGTCTCCACACCCCGTCTCCACACCCCGTCTCCACACCCCATCCCACACCCCGTCTCCACACCCGCCCAAGGCGCACTCCACCGGGCCGGCACGACCCGTGCGCCCTGCCCTGCCTGGCCCCCGTGGTTCCCAGGATGGCAGCCGGGGCTTCCGTGCACGCTAGGCCAACCCTAGCCCCTGCCACACTTTAATTTTATTGGCACCCGAGATGGGACAAGAAACGGAGACCTGGACATGAAGGGCAGGACGCGCACTGGGTGTCAGGGAGCGCGTCTTTAGTCCCAGCCCTCGGGAGGCAGAGGCAGGGGGACCTCCGTGAGTTCAGGGCCAGCCTGGGCTGCAGAGCGAGTTCCATGCACGCACACCCACCCCCACGCGCCCTCTCCCTGCCCACGCCTCGTCTCCCCCCGCGTCCCCCTTACATGATGCAGCCTAGCGCCCAGATGTCAGACTGGCAGGAGTGTCCACTCCGGGACACCACCTCGGGAGCCTGGAAGTTTGGAGTCCCGCAGAGCACCCTGGGGGGGGGACCCCGCGAGGTTCAGGAAGGCCAGGGCTTCCTGCCCCCTCCGGACCACGCAGCACCTCCGACCCCCACCTGTGGCAGCGACCGGTGGGCCCCACGCGGGCGGCCAGGCCCAGGTCCCCGATCTTCACCTCCATGTTCTTGTTAAGGAAGAAATTACCTGCGGGGAGGGGTGGGCGGGGTGGGGCGGGGGCGCCGCACGAGGGCGCGCAGCCCCCCAGGCCCTCCCCGTACAGGAACGTTAAATCAA